TACCATCCAGATCTGATCTGCACGCCATAGAGCGCTAGGCTTCTGAATCCACAGTCCCCAAACTTCATACTAAATCTTCAAGCCTTGCAGTAAGCCTAAGCTCCAGACTCTAAATCCTAAACCCTCATGACTGGATGCCCATACTAGTCTCTTGCATCCTGTAACCCTGACGATAGTCCCGATGAGCCCGAGGGTTTTTAATCTAGGAATTCCTTCGGTGCCCACAAACCACCACCCGGAAGTAAACCCGATGATTGACCTTTAACCCTGAATTCTAAATGATGTTTTTCTTGGGCCTGGGGAGCACATAACACCATCGTCATATGTCATGACTGTTAAGGAACAGTGGGTACCTCTTCCAGCTTCTACCTTACCTGATTGAAATATTGGAGTGCCAAACCCTCAACAATGGCTCAGACCGGGAGATCTGTCTAAGCAGCAAGCTGGGAGTGAATTTTGATGAAAGGTTTAGGGTAGGGTTTAGGGAGGCATAAGATGCAAGATGGAAAGAGGATAAGGTAAATCTCAGGACCCGCTCGGTCCGCTGCACACAAACGCATCCCCTAGCCCCAAAACCTCTTACCCCTGTGTTCCTGACCTAACACCCCCTCCCCCTATTTCCATGCAGTAGCTGCTTGATAGCTTTGAAGGCCCCACCAACTAAACATGAAAAGGTCCCCATATGAAACGTCTATTCCAAAAGCGGCATGCAGCTGCTGGATACTCTTAATCTAGAACCCGGGTACTAACCAACCCTAAACCCTCTCTTTCAGGGTTTACGACTTTGGGTTCCCAATCCCTGAGCCCAAAAAAGCAAAGTTTACAATTGTCAGACAAAGCTCGCTACAGGCTTGGGCCCCCGAAATCCAAAGCCCGAAATCCGTAAAGTTCCCGAATCCTAAGTCATCCTAATTCTCCGAAACCCTAGACCCTGAATCCCTCATCCGCAAAATCCCCTATAACCCCAAGTGGGCTTGTGTGGAAACCCTATCACGGACTCGAGTATCTCTTTGAAGATGTTAGACCTTATCATGTTTATTCATTTTTGATTCCTTATCGTTTTACAGTGGATGCTCCTTTACTCGATATGCCAATCCTGCAATGTAAAACCCTATCGCTCTTCTTTATTCCTTAACGATTTACCATGAATCTGCAAAATAGGACCGTCCTGACTGAAATTTCTTCCACAGGGTTTTCGAATATGAGCCAAGCCCTAGTTCCCTAAACCCAAGATCCTGAAACCCTGAATTCATGCCGAGCTGCTTGATAACCTTGAAGCACGGAGAGCCGGGCTTGGGAACCTCACAAGGAGCCATCTCGGCCTGACGTGCTTTCGGTATCCAAGGAAGGTGGGGGTCAGGGCTTACGGTTGGGGTTTAGGGTTCAGGGTTTAGGGTTTAGGGGTCAGAGTTCAGGGTTTAGGGGTTGGGGTATCTGGTTTAGGGTTGGGCGCACGCGTCGCACTGCCTGCACGGGAACTGTTCCGCGGTCCGTAGAGAAAGAAATTTCAGAGAGTCCAGTTGCAAGCACGGAACCTAATTACACTCCCGGAAACTAACACGGAAACCCACATGGCCCTAAAATGACTACAGTCCCTCTGAAAGGGGACCATCTCGGTTTGCTTTTTTTGGGGGGGGAGTGTAATAAAGCTGTCAATGTCGTGTTGCCGCTATCTACGCGGGAGGTCGGGCAGTGCATTGGTCAGCTCAGCTCAGCAAGGCCCAGCATTATGAAGTGGACTGCTGCGCCTCAAAAAGGGGTTAAGGTTTTAGTTTGTTTGTTTTTTTTTTTTTT